CTTCCTTCTTTCCCTCCATTTATTCATTCATTCCTTCCTTCTTTATTCCCTCCTTCCTTCATTTATTCCCTCCTTCCTACCTTCCTTCTTTCTTTCGTTCCCTCCTTCCTTTTTTCATTCATTTGTTCCTTCCTTCCTTTTTTCATCCCTTCCTTCCTTCCTTCCCTCATTCGTTCCTTCCTTCCTCATTCCTTTCTTCCTTCCCTCATTCCTTATTCCTGTGGAACTGTGATGTGGAAACCAGTCCTGTTCTGGCTTCAACTTCCTGGTTCCAGTTGATCTTCTTAAACTTGCAGTGTTTGTTTCCACACTCAGATGTTTTTGATCTTCACCTGGTCAGGAACGTGTTTCCTGTTTTCAGTGAGAGTAAAGAAAAGTGCTCTCATGTTTGCCAAACTGCTCCAGTTCTGGGTGGAATTGCTTTTTGAAAAACTTTTAACTGCAGCTGGTTTGAGTCTCCAAACTGGGCTCTTTCATGATTCCCTAATCGCAAACTGGGTGGTGGGGTGTTTACCAGTCTGGGCAGAGCCATGCCGGTGACAGAGCAAACCAGCTTGACCGTCTGTCCGTAGTGGATGTAACCGTCTCTCACAGTGAATTCTTCTCCTTCAGACTCCTCGTCATCCACTGCAAACACAAAACAACCCATTAAACAACTACCAGAACGAGCCCACCAGCTTTGTTACGTTTCACACAACACGTCCAGTCAACCAGTCTCCGTCTGCAACGAACGAGCCGATCGACACTAATCACAAGAGTCGAAACTGGACCCTTCACTGGGACTCACAGAGGTGGATGTAAAAAGCGCCCCACTGCTGGGAGCTGGCGTGGAAGTTGCCGCCCTCCACGTGTAGATAACGCGTGCTGACTGTTTGGGAGCGCAGCCGGTTGAACAGAGCCACCTTGGTCCCCGACGCGATGCACACTGCGGACGGAAGCACACATCAGGCTACACAAAGACGACAACGCACAGAGTTTAAAGAGGTCAAACAGACCCTGACCAGGATTACATGTTATTATATTTGTTCCTCCTCCATCTAGTGGAAGAAAACTACAAGACTTTCTTTAATTTAGTCCCACAGAGCCGCTGTAAGAATTCAACCGAACCTCTAGATTTATGAAATTATCGCAGAACTTTGAGAAACAGAGAAGATCCTTTCCACGGCTTCGTTATCAGAACTTGTTCTGTCGACAGATTTGATTAAAGCTTTCTCTGAATAAAACTTAAGACTTGTGCGTCCTAACTGAAGTCGAATGCCCGACAAGAGGAGCAACTCTGTGCTTTTACCTCAGAAAACAGGTTTGGTTCAAGTTTTGTGTTGAGAAATGCAGTACACAGAATATTAATAGGAACTATAAAATTTTTTTTTGAGTGGAAAATCTTTATGGAAGCAGAAGAAAACAGTTTTATTAAAATAAAATAAAAACGAGCTGAGTGCCAAAAACTACTAATTGATCAGTAAACTTTGCTCAGAGGTGCGATATGGCATAAAATTCGCATCACGATATGTATTGTGAAGGGTGGCGATAATGATAAATATCACGATATGTTTTTGGTATAAAACTTGCAGTAGGAGCGGGTTTGTCAGTGAGGGAGGAGGAGGGGTAGTGTGTGAAAGGCCCCAGCCTGCAGTCAGACTGGGAGAAAAACTGCTGGATTTAGGCCCTGTACACACGTAGCCGGATATCAGGAAAACCGAATAGTTTATCATGCGGTGTGGCCTTTCATCCACACGTGAACTCCGGTTGATGTAACTATAAACGAATAATAACAAAAACTCCGACCAAAGTGGAGATTTGAGAAATCTCCTCTTTCGGGTTTGCGTGTGGACTTTCGGAACCGGAGATATGCGCATTATGTCTGCGACAGATGGTGTAGCGCGGCGCCGACGTCACATGTGCGACAATTGTTTTTGTTTGCCCATTCATTCGGAGGGAAAATGACTGCGTTTTGTACTCCAACACGGTATTTAATAGTAGTTCAACCTCGCGGTCTGTCCACACAAACGAACCTCCAGGCGCCATGATTCAATACTAACAGGAAGTTGTGGTTGCTTTGAAGGGTTGTGATTGGCTGATATACGTTTCACCTTTGCACTACACTGCCTCCTATGGGTTGGGCATATTCTTTACAACGCTCTGTGGTGAACATCACCGGGTTCATGTAGACGATCATTTTCTCTATCCGAACATGTCTGTACGGCGATATTTTTTTGCGCAGATATTCGTTTTTTCAAACACCAGGCTATGTGTGTACAGGGCCTTAATCTTTATTCAGAGTATAAGACTATATCGTTTTATATTGATATAGTCAAATTTTATATCGTGTTTTAAATCATCTCAATATTTTTAAAATATCGATATATCGCCCAGCCCTATTTTGCACTATCAGTGTTTAGCGTATATCTTAGATCTTTTAGTGTACCATTTGGCATTCGTTTAGGGTAGTTTATACCTTAGATCCTTATTTACAGGTTCTTTTTACACTTTATATTGTTCTATTGTTGGATGTAATTGGACCTTGTAAACACAATTTCGTTCCACCTCATGTACCACATAAATGATAAATGGACTGTACTTATATAGCGCCTTTCTATTTTATTGCAAGATACTCAAAGCACTTTACAATAAAATCTGTGCCTCATTTACCCATTCATACAGCACTACTAGATCTCTACAAAGCTAATGGAACAAATCATTCTAAAGAGACTAATCAGAGCTTTATCACATTCAGACACCGATGGGACACACATCAGAGGCAACGAGGGGTTCAGTGTCTTGCCCATGGACACTTCGGCATGTGACTGCTGTTGGATTTGAACCCCCAAGTCTCGCATTGGAGGATGACTGCTCTAACTACTCAGCCACAGCCTCCCATGTGATGCAAATGACAATAAAGAACCATGACCTTGATGAGTGAGGGAGGTAGTTGTCATGAAGACCTGTGGGGTTCACACTGTCTGTGTTGAACAGACAAAGTCTTTAAAACGCCATCTGGTGGTTAATTCTTGAACTACAACAAGAGCTGCACGTCTCTCAGTAGCTGTGTGCTGCCACGCTACACAACTTAATTAAAAGTTTTTAAAAGTCTGTGTAAACATCTCATGCTACAATGTGGACACCCACGGCAGCCTATATATGTACAGAATTTAAATTTAGTGGGCGGGGCTTATATTCAGGTGCGCTCAATAGTCCGGAAATTACGGTAAGTCTACTTGAAACCTATCAAACAAAACAAATCAAACAAAACAATGGCCGATAAAAACACTAAATGAAAAGATGTTCAAAATGAATGAACTGTTGTAGAAGCTCTGAACATCAAACAAAAACGTCACGTAATGGACGTCGAAGACGAACTTCTCACATTCTACGAACGCTGAACGCTTTAACCGTTTTCACTCGTTACTGAAGCGTTTAGATCCAATATAAAAGTCGCAGCACCTGCTAGTGACCTGGCATGGTAACTACAGCGAATTTAGCTTTTTTTTTTTTTTTTGCTCTCGTCTAAAGCAGCGATTGCGATCACGCGTGGTCGTGTGAACGTTTTCACAATCGACGTTGTCGACGTGTAAACTGGCTCTCGGTGAGAAGCGGGAACTTCTGAGTTAGAGTCAACTTTCACACAGCGAAGCACCAAGAATGATTTCTTCAGCTCCGTCCTCCTTCCGTCCACTCAAGAGTTGTATCACAGATGCGCTCGGAGGAGGAAGCGACGACAGACGAATGAGTAGCACGACTCACGGTCAGCGTTTTTGAGGGACTGCTTCTTTTTGGAGGGCTTGGAGATGACTTTGATCCTCTTGCTGAGGAAGACGCCGATGTCTGCGCTGTTGCCGTAGAACATCTTGACAGACAACATGAAGTGCTTTCTCTTGTCGGAGTCGGATATGTACAAGGTTTTGGCTGTGCAATAATTCTGAGGCGGAAGAAAGGAGAGAAATAAACGGTTAAACGTGTGGCCATTTTAAAAGACACGTTTGTGACTCTGTTGTACGTCGTTACAAAGGATCGTTTTTATTTAGTTTCGGTCATGTTGAAAATGTTCACATGGGGTTTTGCGCGTGGTTCGTACCTTTCCCTCTAAGTTGAGCTGTTGCATTTCTTGCTCGCTGTTGCCGATGCCGATGAAGGCGCAAGGCTGCGACTCCTGGTCGGAGCAGCCGTCTCTCTCCATCTGCTCCTTCTTTTTCTTCCAGCCGCTGCCCATCAGGTACACGCAGGGAGGAGGGCAGAAAAACCTGCCAACAAGAAGACATTAGCGTACGGAGCGTTAACAGTAGAGATGTCAGGGTTCGATTGGTGAGGACGCGTGGTTTTATGCCACCAGCCACGACAGAAGAGCGTATTATGTAAAGCACTTTGTATCAAAGCAAAGCAAGACAGGTCGGTTCAGAATAAAGCTAGTGCACTGAATTCCCACAAGAGGTGAGTGTTGGATAAATAACCATGAATCAGGCTTCGTGTATTGAACGTATTCCGGAGTCTCCGTTCAGGCTGCGACTCGCGGTGAATCGTTTTAATTCAATTTGGCAAGCAAAGGGATGAAAACAAGTTATTGGTTTGAGATATTAAAGCTCTTTTGGGGAGATTTATTCATTTTGTTAGTAGGATGTGATGTGAAGGTGAAGCCTGATTGAAAAGAGTGACGACTGGTGGCCAACTGAAGGACGCGCAAGAGCTGACTGAAATATTAAGACTGATCCAGTAATGTTCAGTCAGGTTATCTGGACAGTTTCTTTTTGTTGGTGCGAGATGTTTCGACCTTCATCCAAAGGACTTCATCAGTCCGAGGAGCCCCAACAAACTCAGTCCCACAAGCAGCACACTCACATTGTCTACCAACCAGTTTGCTGGTGATAAGATGGTTTCTGGGGCTCACCCTCTCGCCCGTAGACTCTTGTGAGGCAGCTGTCAATATTATTGACAAAGTCCTTTGGATGAAGAATGAAAAGTCTAAAAAAAAAAGAAACCGTCCAGATGACCTGACTGAACTTTAAGATTTTTACCTGGATTATTGAGCATGGACTTTAAAGATGAAGACTGATCAATCCCATGTCAGCATTTAAATTAAGAAAAGTCTTTGTGGTCCTTTTAATCCTTTGATATTTGTTAATTTAAACTTATTATTGATTTCACTCTCATTACAGATCAAAGTAATGATGTTTGTTGTAGAAGACCTTTGACCCTGCACCACAAGAACTAAGGAGCAACTCATTGGTTTTAAAATATAAAACCAATATGCAGACACACTCCTCAATTCCCTAAAAAAATTCAAATTCAAACAAAGCTTCTATACAGTTTAAAGATATTTTTTAAAGCTTCTCTCTTCTTCAGAGGTCGCAACGGCAAGCAAACGTGCACGAAAGATTTGCCGATTGTTTTATGTCGGATGCCCTTCCCGATGCTAACCTGCCCACTGAGCTGCCGCAGCCTCCAATGAAAAAACAAAAAGAAGGGTAAAATGTTGGTTCAGGTTCATTTAGAAAGAATTGAAACATTTTGAGCTTAAAAAAAAAAAAAAAGTTAAACGTTATGAACCAGTGAAGCATGTGGTGAAGAAGCTGTCCGAAGCTTCATCCACATAGGACTGTAGTGTTTTGATTAGAGCCTGACCGATATATGAGTAGGGCCGATATAGATATTTGGGAACCAGTCGATATCTGTGATAATTGACCCATTATGCACAGATATAAGCACTTGTAACCGGCCGTAATTGTACAACGTATCCTGCAGAGGGCGCATGAAGACAACTTTCAAGCCATGGCTGTTCACTTAAGTTTCACTTTCACATTCAACACATGAAGCAGGGAACGACTGTAGCGTATTTTGCTGAACAGAGCATGGTAAGTTTATTTGAATTGATCTGTAAAATATAAACAAATCAACAATAATAAATTCTCATCAATCCTCCAACCTGCTTGTCATTAGCCATGTGCCTCTCAAGTTAGCATGCTAATGTTTAAATAACATGGCATAGGCTACTGCCTCGTAAAACTTTATTCAGAGCAATAAAGCTAACGCAGCGGTAAATATATATCAGTGTTGGTAACGTTATCTTTGCCGTCCTCAATGAAATGCATTGTTTGTCTGAAATCTTTACTTCTCTGCAAAGAAAAATAAACAGCTGTGGTCAATATAATACAATTAGACCTTCACCATACACGACTGACTGTGTAAACAATGAACAGGGAAGGGCGTTTCTTTGTTTAATTGATATTTTTGTAACACACTTGATAACTTTATGGTGAATAATGGGAGGATAAAAAACTGTGAACACATGTTAGGAAGACTTTTTCTATCCAGTGCGCCACGACTGGGTATAACTAGATCTGATTTGCTTAGCTTCATGGTTGCTAACAGCTGTGCTAAATAAACAAACCGTGTGACCTTATTAGCCTTTGGACTTTATTTAAGATACTTTAACAAAACACTGGAGCTTTAAGCGCTGCCTGTCTGTCACATATTTACATATCACTTGTTTTTTTTTTTTTTGGTCTCTGATCCTGAGAGGGTTATTTTATCTATAACGGGTGAATAAACTGGATTTCCAAACCATAAACTAAACACGGCTACTGTTTGAAATTTAAATGCTGTTCCAGACTGAAATGTTCAATTATTTTCTTAATGTTTGAATTATTTATAACAACAACAAATATGTACGTGTACTCAAATACAGAGTGGCCTCACATTGCATCTTGTGAGGGTAAACAAGCATCCACTAATGCAAAAGGTCTGTCTTTAGTTTTCCTGAACATTGATCCATTTAGATCAATCTGTAAGAAAAACATTTATTAAAAATAATTTACTAATTCCTAGCTCGCCCCAACATGCAAACGTGACTAAATTCACATTTTAATGGAGTAAAAACTCACGTGAGCCTGTATGTGTTTATCAGTTTTAGCTGATCTGATCTGAACTGTTGAGGACCAACATGCAGAAAATACACATTCGTGTGTAAAATATAAACTTAATTTACTTAAGAGGTTTGTCAAAAAGTTTCTGCGTTCAGTGTGAATGAGTCTCAGCAGTCAATGAATCAAACGATGTGCGTCTTCAGTTCGACCAGAAGAGGGGAGTCTTGTAATAAAGATCCTCCGGGTGGATCTGTCAGCAGGTTGAACACAAGCGAACTGAAGATCTGACAGATGTTAACACCATCAAACTGAGAAATTATTAAGAATCACTTTAGCCAAATTGTT